TCATCTCAGGTGGGCTCCTGAGACACATCAACCCCTTGGAGTGGCTCCCCATGACTCCCCAGGATTAAAGGTAAATCTAGCTGACCTATGTCTCCTATGTTCGGTTTCCACTAGGATGTTCTGCTACTAAGCCAGTTCATCCGGCCTCATGGAGGCATGCTGCCCCGAAAAATCACAGGCTTATGCCAGGAAGAACACCGCAAGATTGAGGAGTGTGTGAAGATGGCCCACCGAGCAGGTAGAAGGCCCCTAAGCTAGAGGGCTGCAGGCTCCCCCCCTCCCTCTCTGTTGCCCTACGTATCTACCTTCCAGGCAGAGAAGCGGGTATCGAGAGTGGTAGTTATACCCACCCCTGTGCCCACCTCCCACTTGGTTTTTCTGGATGCCTCCTGAGCTGCAGAGACCATCCCTTATATGCTCTTCCTCCACTCAGGTCTGCTCCCAAATCACAGGCCTCGGCTTCCTGAAGGATTTGTTCCAAAGAGCAAACCCCAACTCAACCGGTAAGTAATCCTGGGTGCCAACAACCAGAGCACTCTGTGGGCCTGCGACTCACACTGGATTCCACTGGGGAAGCCATTTGTGGAGTGTGGCCCACAGCTCAGGAAAGCTAGAGTGGCCTTGGATGTCTGGTCCTTTCCTCACCAGCTCAAGCACCCCCACCCCCATCATTCCACCATGACTGCAGTGTGTACTGCTTCTACTGCCTGCCTTACTGGCCCCAGACTCTTTCCTTTTCCCAGCCCTGTGGAGCACAGACATAGAGGCAAGAAGGGTAAGGAGGCCTGCTGATTGGGCATTGGAATGTGCTAATCCCCTGTTTATGACATCACACTCAGTTGCTATGGAGATGTCAGAGTACTTCTACAAACTTTCAGTCTTCTAGCTCACTGTAGCTTTGGGGTTATTAGAGGGCAGAGCAAGGCTCGCAGGGCACAATGGCACACAGCTGTAATTCCAGCAGCTTGGCTGGGAAGGCTGAAGCAGGAGGATCACAATCAAGGCCAGCCTCAGCAGCTTAACAAGACCCTTCTCAAAATAACAAATAAAAAGCCTGGGATAGTAGCTCAGTGGTAAAGCACCCCTGCCTTCGATTCCCCAGTACCAAAAAAGAAAGAAATGGAAGAGCTCTCTGGGTCACTATACATAACAGCAGGTCATGCACTGCATGACCTCAGGGTGGCGTCCATGTAGACTAGATCACAAGCGGTGCTTCATGAAGTTGTGCAATTCACATCCAACTCAACTTTGTGTGGCAGCCTGAGAGGTCCTGAGGTTTTATCAAGGAGGAGAAGACAGCCCACACCCTTGAATCAGTCTTCCCTCCAGCCTAAACAAGGTAGCCTTTCTAGAATAGGAGCAGATTCTTGTCTAACACTCAAGCGGCTATCCTGTTGTCTGTTCCTCTTCTGTCTCTGACATCACCACACTCACGTGCTCTTAAATCTATGATGTCCCATTGTTCAGAGTAAGGCCAGGTCTGTAAAGTTGACTTTGGAGTTTCTTGTGTTACTCTACTAATGGCCCCTCCAGACAGCCTCCAGTCTGTCCAGCTGCTCTAGTAGTTTCCAGACTGGAGTGAGAAAAATTCATCTTTGTAGGGAACCAAAGATGACTGTCACAAAACAAGACCCCTTAACTCCCAGTAAACCTAGACTGAGCCCTACTAGAACCCAGGTATGGAGGGTGGGAGGCCAGATTGCTGGGTCAATGGTGCAGGATGTGGGAACACAGGGTTGCTTACTGGTACCTTGTCTCCCCTGACCCCAGAGCCTGGGCCAGAGCTGTGCCTTTACGGACACCTTGCCAGCACCCTGGCCCTGTGCCCAGTTCCACCTGTATCTCCCACATTGTGAGCTGGGCCAACCGCCAGCAGCTCTGGACATGGTACAGAGCTGGTACATGGTACAGTCCTACATCTTCCCACTGGGCTATGGACCCACTGAGGGCTGAGCCCACCCTCCTGGATTTTTAAGAGACAGCAGCAGGCCCAAGGACACAATCCATCCTGCCCTGAGGCCTTTGAAGCTAGGCCAGGCTCCCTCCCATACATCCGGTGTCCTTTAACGTGACAGAGGATTGATGATGTGTGGGGGCTCTTGGGTTTCAAAAGGCCACCCTGGGGGGGAGGGGGAGTCCCGGCTATAAAGGAAATTGATTTCCTTGCAAGGGACTCTGTGGTTCCACCCAGAGGCCCTTGAGCTGCTGCCATGTATGGGGCCCAGGTTCTGCTGGTCCCCATAGAGTCGTGCTTTGTTGTCTTGCTGCCTCTGTCCACCCGCCGCCCATTCTCAGGAGAGGTAGGAAGGGGCTAATTTGGGAGAGAGCCTGGATTCTTTCTAAAGCTAAGGTGTTTCCAAAGAAATGACCAGAGGTCTCTAGCCCATCCCTGCCAGGCAGCTTTTCCATGTGGCACATGGAGCTAAAGCCCAGCTTCTCTCCGATGTCTCCAAGGCCTGGGGAAGAGAATAGCTGAGGACCAGACACAGTGGCTCATACCGGGAATCCTAGGAACTGGAGAGGGTGAGGCAGGACCACCTCAAAAAATTAAAAGGGGGCTGGGGATGTGGCTCAAGCGGTAGCGCGCTCGCCTGGCATGCGTGCGGCCCGGGTTCGATACTCAGCACCACATACCAACAAAGATGTTGTGTCCGCCGAGAACTAAAAAAAATAAATAAATAAATACTTTAAAAAAAAAAAATTAAAAGGGCTGGGGATGTAACTCAGTGGTAAAGCATCCCTGAGTTCAGTCCTCAGTACCAAAACAAAAGAAAAAGAATGGCTGAGGACAGTAGCTCTGGGAATCAGCCTAGGGATCTTCTGGAGTCCTTGAACCCAGTGAGCACTCCTTTTGGCGGGCCTGCTCCCAAGCTTCATGTCCTCACCCTCTCCCCAAAAGACGGGAGAGGTCAGCATAGGAATCAATCTGGTGGTCCCTTCCCTTTGCCTTACTCTTCTTTTATCCAAGAAAACTGATCATAGGAAAAAAACTGTCCTGGGGCCAGCCCCTTTAGAGCCAGTACCCCAGCAGGGGCATTGACATTTCCAGCAGATATTGGCAGCCCCCACCCCGACTCTACACACATGGAATGCAGATCAGGCATCCACGCCCACCCACCCTCGCCCCGCCCTCACAGCTTCCCCTCTGCACAGAGCTAATAGCAAAAGACCAAGAGCCAGAGGAACTCAGCTGAAATGCATAAATCAGCAATCTTTTTTTCTTTTTCATCTAAAAATTTTTAGCCAAAAGTATTCATTTTTTAAATTAAAAAATTTTTCATTTGAGGGTCTCTAGAGGTGCTGGGGTGAACACACACCTAGAGTGGAGGCAGAGGAGGATTCCTGGCTGTTGTCATAGCTGAACTTTCAGGATAAAGGATGGGCCTTTTTGGACAGGATCCAAGTTTCATTCTGGATAGAGTAACCCCAATCCCAGTTCATATGAGCCACTTTTCCAGGAACTGTCAGGACCCTGGCCATCCCCAAAGGAGGCCAGAGGACTATGGGTGGCCATCATTTTCCCCAACCCCTCCTACTTACAGGAACCTTCCTGGGCCAAGGTTGCACCCAAAGGCCGTTATCCCTTGGTTCCCGTCATGGGTTAAGTGAGGGGCGGGGGTCTTGATTAGTTGTGGTGACCTGGGGAATTCCCTGAAGGCTGGGGTGGCAGAGAGAGCCAAGTGGGGAAGAGTGCAGGGTTCTTCCAGACCCTTGCATCACTGTCATTCCCTGGCTGGGGCCAGAGAGCAGCAATCTACTCTCCAAGCAGCCTCTTCCTCTGCCTTCTCCCACAGCACGGACAAACACTGACAACTCGTAAAGATCAGAGAGCTGCCCAGGCTGCCTAACCCTGGCCACACACAGTTAGAGCAACAAGCACCCAGCCCATCTGTTTATAGGACACTCAGCAGGAAAATCCCTTCCCCTAGAAAAAGGAAAACTGGAGGAAGGAATTGCCTGGCGCATGGCAGCCTGGCACAAGGAGACCATACCCTGCTGTCTCCGTCCCAGCGTGCACCCTGCACTTATAGCCACCTCCTTGTGCTTCCTCCACAGTTACCTGACCCGCTGGTCTCCCCACTCCGTCAAGCCAATCTACAAAAGAGGTGCCCGCTGGAACAAGGTGGGCATGGCTGTGGGGTCACCACTCCTAAAGGACAACATCTGCTACTCAAGAACGCCTTTGAAATTCTATCATTGACTGAGACCTGGCCAGAGCACCTCCTGCACATCTGCAGGGGAGCAGCAGCAGGCCAGCTTGGGAGCCCCCACAGCTGTCCTTCTGCCCTCCACCATAGGATGGCCTGGCCAGCCAGCACAAATGTACAAGGGATAGTACTTTAGTACTCTTGCTGCCAGCAACAGTGCTGGGAGCTAGGGGCAGGCAAGCTGGGTCCTTTGGCAGTTGCTGTGATTTTATGACTGGCTTGGGTGATGGTCAGTGCTGGGGCACAGGAGTTTTGCCAGAAGGAATGTCATAAACCCGACCATGGACTTACCTTCTGAGTGTGTGCTTGCTGCTTGGGAAGTCCGGGAGCCTGGGCATGTTACCATCTGGTTGCTGAGCATCAAGCCACTAAGCCCTTACACTGGAGTACCGCTGGATGGAGTTCATGCGCTAAGCAGGTTCCATACTTTTTATTGACAGCTCTGAGCTCCTTATTCTGGAGGACGTGAGTTGAGCTGCATGGCCTACATGTAGCTCTCACCTGAGTCTAAGGAGCTGCCTTCCTCAGAGGATTGCTGGTTGTCACCTCCCACGGCCATGCCACCCATCATTATCTAATGTCTCCTTTAACACATTCGAGTTCATTGCCATTTGCTTTAGGTAGGTTTCTTGGCTCAGTGGGCCTCTCCTTAGAGATTGGACACCAAAAGGAGGCAGAAATAAGGAGAAAGGCAAGACAAAACAAATAAGCCAAGCTCATTCTTTAGACTAAGCTGAATACCCAGGTTTCTTCCATCCTACAGCATGAAGGGCAAGTCTAGGTTCTTCTCACCCGTGCCCACATAGATGTAGCCGTAGTTCTTGGTGCGGGGAGCATGGTAGAAGGTGAGGCCTGGCCAGAGCAGGCTGCGCAGAACAACCAAAGCGTTGCCTCTCTCCATCTGGATGCTCCATGACCCTGCTGGCAGATGGCAGAAGTGAGGCCTGGCTCTGTGGAGGGGACGGCAAGTGTGCTCCTCTGTTTCAGCCATTTCGTGGCTCATAAAAACCACTTCTAGAGGGAGGGCTAAGGAAGTGCAGAGTGAAACTCCAACCAGTGGGTTCTGTTCCTATTGGCAAGTCTAGCTACAGGTTGATCCACGGGCACAGAGGAGATGGGAGTGGCAGGGAGATACCCTCCAGCCTCCTTTCCCTCTATGTTAGGGGTAATCACCAGTGACTTTGGCTCTGGTGTGGTTTTGCCCCTGCTTAGATTTTCTCTCTTCCTCAGTCCCAGAAGCCTCTGCTCTTGAGAGGGACTAAACCAGACCAGGGGCTCAAGTAGAAGTTTGACCACTTCTGACAGCTCAGCTCAGTGCCCTTTCTGACAGCTGGTAGACTGGGAGCAGTCCTTAGTGTAAGGAAGAGGTGGCTGCCGCCAAGGAGCCCCTGTTTATCCTGGGTTCTGCCCTGGTTTTTGCTTCTCCAGACAGGAGCAGCCCAGCCCAGGGCTGAGTTGTGCAGCCATGAGGACTTGGCTAGAAGTGCCTGATCCAGCTCCAGATCTGAGGGAGGGAGCCGCTGTGTGGGAGGAAGGAGCCTGGGAAAATCGCCTCTGGATGCAGATCTGGGGCTTCTATTCCCCTGCGCACTGAGGCCTCTCCCGAACCAGCCGCAGCCCTGTTCCGGGCCTGCCAGAAAGGCAAATGCTTTGAAGGTTCTGGTGTTGGACCAGCCAGCCGTGCACTGAGCTCCTCTGAAGCCTTCATCAGCTGCCAGCTCAGCCCGCCTGCTTGGCTCCCACCGCCCTAGCTTCCCACAGCCCACCTCCAACCATGGCCCACCCTGGTCACTCCACACCCAACAGCCTCACAACTCAGTCTCCACCCACTGGGGGCTACCCTGCCTCCAAGAGACCTGATTGCCGGGAACACTGGACGCCGATGGCAGTTCAGCTCTGCACTAGGGGTAACTGCCTGCCCAGGTCAAATAATAGGCCTCTGAGAATATAGAGGTCTGCTCCTGGCCCTCTGGGCTCACTCAAGCACTATGTAGTGGCTGCAACTGCTACCACCCTTGCATGGCATGATGACGTGGATGCCCCAGTGTGCGCTGGCTGGCTCTCCCACCCTCGGTGCCTGTCAGATCTCATCAAGAAGGAAGTGAATGTCCCTGTGTTGCCAGGGCTCTGGCTAGAGCACTGCCCTAAGAAGAGGGCATTTCTCCCGGCTCTACAACCTCTCTTTGGGCACCTGAGGCTCTGCTCATCCAGGCCACCCCTCCTCAGATCTAGAGGCCCTGGCCTGTTGCTTTCCTGGTCACGCATCTCCAGGAAACGCTGCCTGGGGAGATACAGGTGGGGATGTCAGAACAGTATGTTCCCAGGGCGTTGTGTTTGGCCTTTAGCAAAAATCACAGCCCGAGAAGGTGCTATTCCCTGGACTTTGTCACTCCTGCCAGGCAGAGCATCATCTGCGGCCAGCTTCTTATCAAGGCACGGTCCTTCCTGACATTGGAACCCATGGCCCCTTTAAAAAAGACAAGACCACTTATTCCTCCTTGCCCGTACAGGGAGAGTGGCTTGCAGCCTCCCTGGACCACCTGCTGCCCTGAGAAAATGAAATCCTAGAGCCCACCCCCAACCTAGGCCCTCATCATTCAGGTAAGGGCTATCTGCACTTGCCCTCATACCAGCCTGCCTGCCCTAGGCCTCGGTAACCTTGCCTGCACTAGATAAGGGAAGGGAGTCACAGTGGCTCAGGCCCATCAGCAGAGTCTCCCACCCAGAGAGCAAGGAGAAGCTAGAGAAACAGCACCCCTAGCAGGGCAGGAGGGCAGTGCCAAGCAGGCTGAAGGGTGCTGGCAGAATTAGTGGCATGTGAGGGGCTGGCCAGCTTACAGCACTGCTTCCTTCCTCCCTCACATTCCTGTCACACTCCTGTCTTGTCGTCATCGCTGGCTCAGCTGGTCACCCAGGAAACGCACAGACTCTCAACGTGCCAGAAGTCACGTAGCATCTACCTGAGGAGCCAGGCACTTGCTATCACCTTAACCCACTTTCTTATTTCACAGACTGAAAAGGCTAGGCCCAGCCAGTTGCTGTCACCCCCTTTAGGACTCAGGGAAGCAGCCTGGTATTTTGGTTTATAGTCTGGTCTCTTCCCTCCTGCCTGTGGGCAGCCACGCTTCTCCACGCTTTGAGGATATGGGTGACATGAACTGGTAGATCAAGGAAGGGCCTCCTATAAGGGGCAGGTGGTCCTCCTGGGTGTCCCAGGCTCACTCTCACTTTGCTGGAGTGGAGACTCAAGCCAGGGTGTACTTACAATTACATTCTCCTACCAATTAGGAAGAAAGGCAGTAGCGCTCTGAAATTAAGATTGAGGGAGAAAATGGGCCAGGCTGAGGATCAGGGTTGTCCAGGGGCAGCAGATAGTTTGAGACCCTCTCCCCAGACCAGCCCCTCCCTCCTGATCTTGTCACACACCAAAAAAATGACTATGGGTTCCCAGTGGAGGGAGCGACGACTGCCCCCACTAGTGCCACAAGATAGACAAACCCCCTAGAGGCCTGGGGACAGAAGAGGAAGAGAATAACTCCCCTGATGTCAACCTCCTGTCTAATTGATGGGCAGCAGAGCCGGGGATCCTAGTCCAGAAGGTTAAGTATGGTCCAGTAGGACTTCCAAGGGACTTGGATGTGAAGAGCCGCTACACACACCCCCAGAAGACTGATCCTGGCACCATGTTCCCCATCCCTCTCCAATACCACTGTCTTACTTGTACACTCCCCAACCAACACGGTAGCTTTCAAAGCCGCTCTCCAGGCAGCAGGACCCTTGCTGCCCTCTGCTGCTCAAGCTGAGCACATGCTGCTGAGAGCTGGCTGGTGATGGAGCCCTGGCCTGCACCTGGCCCTTCCTGCCATCTGCTCCAGTCCAGAGTGGAGCAAGGACAGAAGCTCCACCCTCCAGCCCTCCTGCTCTGCTCCACTCACTCTCTCCTCTCTGTCCCCAAGACACCAGTGATCCCATTTGTAAGACACCTTCTAGCCTAGGTTTTCCCTTCCCAGACTTTCATTTGATCTCCCCAAATCTCTGTTATGTAAGGGCGCTATCTCATCCTAAGGAAACAAAAAGGGCCTGGCATGTAGCAGCTGCTCTGTGGCTGTTGGAAAGGTTCAGGAGCATTGAGTAGCAGAACACTGTCTAGACCCAGTACTCCACCTATGTCACCTACTGTTCCACCTGTTACTCAGCTACAGCCCAGAGTCAGAGAACTCAGGCACTGCCCTGAATCTACCAGGAGGATGGGCGCTGCCACCCCAGAAGTAGGCAGTAGCCCCTAAAGCCACCCAGATCCCAGGGAATGGCATGATAGTTCATAATAGCACATTGGCCCCAGGTAACATCCCTCTCTCTCCTCTTTTAGCCAAGGCTGGCCCAGGGACAAGCTGTTGAACTCCTGGCCTATCTCCATTGGCTCCGAGAGTTGGAATCCAGGGACCTAACCAACCTAAACCACACCTGCTCAGAGGTGACACGTTCCCCTGAACATTGCCTCAGATCCAGAAAACATACACACAGTGATCTGGGCTGGGGCTGTAGCTCAGTGGTACAGCACTTGCCCAGCGTGTGTGAGGCACTGGGTTCAATCCTCAACACCACATAAAAATAAACAAAGGTAAGCTGCCCATCTACAATAGTTAAAAAAAAAAAAACCACACACAATTATCTTGCCTGGGCATAGAATAGCTGCCAAATCCCACCCTCTAGGCAAGTCTGGTGTCCAGGGAATACTTTCTTAGGGTTTTGGCCCCACCTAGCAGCCCAGCCCTCTCAGATGCTGTCTGGCAGAGGAGTCCCCCAGCAGCTCATTCTCTTTCGCTGACTGCTAAGAAATGGCGTCCTCCCCAATGGAGCTGTCTGCTCTCTCCTGACCATCCACACCCCCACATACACACATGCCCCCCACTAAATCCTCATGAGAAAAAGCTGGGTCTGACTTCCTGTAGGTTTTCTGGTCGTAACTCTGGGAGGAAGGGTTAGTAACCTAGAGGCCAAGGGCTGTGGGAGGTTTCCAAAGGTAGAGCCAAGAGTACCCCCCACACCTACACAGAAGCCAGGACCCCTCAGCTCCTGAGGCCAACACTGAGGACAAAGGAACATGCTGGCTGGCCTGGGAAGTGGAATCCTCAGGGAATCCTATAGCGCTGGGACCCACAATCAGGGCAGAATACTGAGAGTATCTGAAATATGCCCAGGCCCTATGCCTCCCAGAGGCCTGATAGACTCACTTGCCAATTGGACACACCAGGGTGGCCCCAGCAGCCTTTAGCACAACTCCCAAAACTCTACATCTTACTTCTGCTGCTGCAAGGAAAGACAGTGCAGACTGAGCTGATGGTGTTTCCTTGGAAGACTTTGCTGCCCCCACCGCCCAGTCTGAATGGCTTTGATCTTAGCTGTAGAAGCCCTGGTGACCTCCTTGCCCCTCCCACTGGACAAAGGGAAAGCCCCATCCTCCCACCCCACACATCCAGCTTCAAGGAAAGAGGCTACAGATGGCTTCCCTGAGCCAGGGGTGCGGTTGCCACCCCAGACTAAGGAAACTAGAAAGATTTCTATGGGTCCATCCTCTGCCCCTGGTGCTGAATCCCACCACTAGAATCTCTGGTCCCTTTGTCAAGAGGGGGTATGCAGCACTCTCCAGCTTTGAGCAAAGCTGGGGGCAGAGTTGGAGGAGATAAGTCTAAGAACTGTGTCTGATCCTCCAACTCCTATAGCCCTTCCTCATCTCCCCCACTGGACTGGAGCCCCGCCTACCCTTCACTGTGGGACTGGAAGGCCTCAAGGGTGCTTAATTTGGACACCCCCCATGTGGCAGCAGCCAGAGTGGCCACTCCTTAGTGGCAGCTACCCACTCAGGACCACTCCCTGGCCCCTGGGTGCTACAGTGGCCCTGAGACAGCCTCCTGAGGCCTGGCTTGCCTTGTCCCTTCTCTCTCCACCTGTGTTGCATTATCATCGCAGACCTGCTTCCAAACCATCAGCAGCTTCTGTCCTGGCCTTCTGGGTCTTGCTAGGCCTGCCCCAATTCATCTCTACTGACTTTTTGCCACTAAAAATCATTATCATTAATAATCATTTTTATTTGAGTGTTTCCTGTGTGCTAGGTCCTATTATAAGAATTTTGTATAGGAGTTACCTCATTTAATCCTCATAACAGCCCAATGAGATAGAAAATATCTATTTCTGCATTTAGAAATGAGGAAACCAAGGCACAAGGAACTGGAGGAGCTTGCCCTAAGGCACACAGCTAGTCAGTGGCAATTCAGGATTGCAGCCCCAGTTCTGTCCCCAGAGCTCTTGCCACCCCACCCCTCCCTTAGGTTCAGCCTTGTTGGTTGCTTGTTGCTCCTCAGAAGTGTTTTTCCTAGTGCTGGAAGTAACTATTGTCCCTTCATACCCACTGTCACCTGTCACTATTTGACACCACAGTTAATGCCAGAGCCTTGGAGTCTACTGCTCAAATAGTGTGTCCTTGGGGTTAACTCTCAGAACTACTATTTCTTCCTCTGTAAAATGGGGAAAATAACAGCTCAGAGGCTGGCTGCAAAGATTAAGATTAGATAAGGCATGGGAATGGCTGAGCACCGCACCTGGTCCCAACAAGCAGTGTCATTGCTTTTATGAATTAGTTATTGTGACTGTCATGATCACCACCATCATCATCATCAGATCCCTCTAGTTCTCAGAAATGCCAACCACAGAAAGAAAAAAAGCACAGTACTAAGTCACTATGCGTCTGATCCCCAAAGGCCTACAACCTCACACCCGTCTCAGGTGACAGCATCAATAGACGCATTTTTCTCTGCTGGTAATGCTTGAAGGAAGGAAATTGGGTGTCTGTGGCCCTGCCAGAAACCACTGGCCTCTGAAGCTCCATATTTTATGATTCAAAAGTACCACATACAGGGAGCTGGGCATGGTGGCACACATCTGTAATCCCAGGGGCTCGGGAGGCTGAGGCAGGAGGATCCCAAGTTCAGATCCAGCCTTCCAAACTTAGTGAGGCCCTAAGCAATTTAGTGAGTGTCGGGAGCTGCCCTGGATGCAAACGCGCTTAAGTCCTGAAGCACCGGGTTCTGACCAATTATTGCCTTCAGTCTGGCACGGCAGTGCCAGGTAGCAGTAACTTAGGCATTACCCCGCTCGGATAATGAGGTGTGGCTCCAGGTATAGGTGTCACCAGCAGGGGTTGAGCTACACTCACCTGTTCCTTTGTAATCCTACCCCTTTGCCCTTTTGGGGATAGAATGTTCCATGGAACCTCTCCTGTGTGTTCCCTATATAAGAATAAAGAATTCCGGTGGCTCTCTCTCTTTCCAAGGACCCAATAAGGTCATAGAGCCATCTCCAGATTATTGAAAAGGTATTTCTGTGTGGTTGCGTGATTTCTTTGTCATTTTCTTGAGTTATTATAATAGTCAGATTTTGTGAACCCAGTATTAGGTCACCAGCTAAGATAGGAGACAAGTGAGATTTAAAAAAAGGGGGGTGCTGGGGATGTGGCTCAGTGGTAAAGCACCTCTGGATTAAATCCCTGGTACAAAAAAAATTTTTTTTAAATGAACCAAATACATAGCAGAAAGTCAGTGTACAAGCTAGGCATGGTGGTGCATGGCTGTAATCCTAGCTAAATGGGAGGCTAAGGCAGGAGGATCACAAGTTTGAGGCCAGCCCCAGGCAACTTAACTATACCCTGTCTTAAAAGGGCTGGGGACATATTTCAGTGGTTCAATTCCCAGTAAAACACACACACACACACACACATACACGTGTACAACTCATGTCTTTAATGGGTGGTTCACTTATCAACCAACACCCACTCATTGAGCCACAGTTATGTCCCAAGCATTGTCCAGAACTCCCAGACTGAAAATTGATGTGTTACTAGTATTTTCAGGATGTTTTCAGAGATGTTTTCAGGAAGATTCCTAATCTGCCTCCATTCAAGATTGCTATGAATCCAACAATCCCACTCCTGAGTATATTTCCAAAGGAAATAAAATAGTCTGTCAAAGAGACATTAAACTCCCACATTCATTGCAGCACCATTCACAACAGCTAAGAAATAGAAACCATCTAAGTGTCCATCAACAGATAAATGGATAAAGAAATTGGAAATATATACACCTGGGAATACTATTCAGCCATTAAAAAAGAATGAAATTTTATCAACAACATGGATGGGACTACCGATCATTTTGTTAAGTGAAAAAACCAGGCACAGAAATACAAGTATCACATAATCTCACTCATACACGAAACCTAAAAGGTTGACCTCACAGAACAGATTAGACCAACAGTGGTTACTAGTCATTGGGATGGTTGGGGGAAAGGGGCCCACAGTGATGTTATCAAAGGATATAGAATTATACTTGGGAGAAATAAGTGTAAGAGATCTATTGAGCAGCATATGCGTCCCTTGTCCTCTTCCTTTATTTTTATGTATTTTATTTATTTATTTATGCATGCATGCATCATCCTGCCTCAGTGTCCCAAGTAGTAGTGGCTTCTTTCTTTCTTTTTTGAATTGGCAATCTTTACAAGGACTACATGATTAATAGTTCATGATGACTATAATGTATTCTTGAAAAATGAAGAGTGGATAAATGTTCTCATTGCAAAAATGAGAACTAGGCGAGGTAATGCATTTTTAATTAACTGGATTGGATTATTCCACAGTGTATATAGAATTTTCTTTTGACTGTGGGTGTGTTGCTGGGGATCAAACCCAGGGCCTTGCACATGCTAAGCATGTGCTCTGCCACTGAGCTATATCCCCAGCCCTATATATATATATTTTAAAATATCACATTGTACATGATAAATTCATACAATTTAACCTATTAATTTAAAGAAAATTAAAATAGGGTGGTTATTTTTCATTTTTAAAAAAAAAAGTTTCTCTGAAAATCAAGAGACTCTGAGCTACTTCACATTTGTGGAAGTATCTCAGGAAAAAAAATCCCAATTTTGGACACTGAAAAATATTAACCAAGTGTTTACTACAACTAGACCCTAGGGAAGCCCCAGTCTCAAGGGCCCATAGTAAGCCACCAATTCCTACCCAGGTCCTAGCTTCCAGTCTCAGAGAAGAGGGGCATATGGCACAGCCCACTGCTTTAGCCTGAGGACAGATCCTCAAGATAATAGACTACTACCTTTGGGGATGTCATGCTCCAAAGAGTCCATGAAGTCCAGGGAGGGGTCCAGGTCAGCCTTCTCAAGCAAGGTCTTATTCTTCAAGTCGATAGCCTCCCTGAAGTGGAAGTAAGAGCTGAGCTTCTTGGCTTCAGACAAGGACAGTCCTAGGAAGAGGAGGCAGCCAGGGAGGATGGTCACCCAAAGCTCTAGAGCCCCTTTTTGCATTGGGACCATATGGAGGGCTTTGTTAAAGACTAAGTCAACCACTGACAGAGAAGTGAAGGGAGAAAAGGGAAAAGTTTGGTTCAGATCCTGCAATGAGGAAAAGTCCAAGGACAAGGCAGGTGGGGAAAAGCAGGTAGCTCAGACCATGTTCAGCAACCATGGTTACTCCCACTCCCCGGGCACAAGAGACTCAGGTCCAGAGACAGGGTAGCCCATCCCAACCACCAACACCAGCTCATGGGGCACATGCTCCTAGGTGATGTGGCCCAGCTTACTTCTCCAAGGAGGGCTGGTCCACTCTGGTGTTCCAGACACATATCTGACTTTTGGGAAGAGAGGCCCTCGTGTCCTGAGAGGGACTCCAAAGAACTCACCTTCAAAAGTTCGGTTAACATTAGAGGGTCCAAAAGGGGTCTTGAAGAGGGCACCTCGGGGGATGATGGCCACAGCCTGGTCAATCTGGTCAATGATGGACACCAAGCGGGTCTCTTCCTTGACCTGGACCTGAGAAGAGCAGAAAGGAGCCATCCAGCCAGAGTGCTGTGTCCACTCACACCTGGTGCGAGGACCCTCTGTATGGCCCTCTTACCTGAGTCACCCAGTACAGGTGCTAGCTAAGGCCACAGAAGATCATGGTGGTAAAGCCCTCACCTTCCCTCCCTGCACATGCACGACAGTTAAATTTATGTCCCCCAGGAAGAGAACCTACATACCTGGCAAACAGGGATGAGAGGAAAACTTACTATATTCCATTTTCAACATCTGAATCTGGGACCATGTGATGTATTATCTAGAAAAATAAAAACTGATACAAAAATACCAGTTGCTTAGTTGCTCACTGGTAGGGCACTTGCCTAGCAAGTGTGAGGCCCTGAGTCCCATCTCCAGTACCACACACACACACACACACACACACTTTATGTGTATACATTCTTTCACCTCAGAGTACAGCACAGATCTCCTTCTTCCTTTTTCTTTCTTTTCCTCCTTTCTTTTTTTTTCCTTTTTGAATTGGTGATCATTATAGGTGACACAGTATTCAAAACTACAAAAAATTCAGTTCTTCTCTCTGACCCCCCAAGTTGCCTTCTCTCTTCCCCATGGCAGGGGACAGTCACCATGAATGGTTTGTTATGTTCCCTCTCTTTCCAAAAAGACCCTTAAGGTCACAGAGCCATCTCCAGATGCACATACCATTCAATCATCATGTTTAAGTCATGCTTATTTTGCCTTCTTAGAGTATGAAAGCAATCATCTCCCTGTAGAATATTTGGATAAGATAAAAAGACATACCTAAGAGGATTAAAAACACTCGAATCCCACCTCCCAAAGATAATCACTAACATATTGGTATACTTCCTTCTCCGCTTTTTTCTATGCATATATTGAACATAAAATGAGAGTCACAGTTTACATAGTTTTATATCCTGCCCATTATTTCTCAAGCATTTCCCCCATTTTATAATCTTCTTGCACAGATGCAATTTGGTTACAATCAACATGAAGGGCACCATGATCAAAAGGACTGCATAGAGATATCTGGGCAAAAGCACCACTTGGCAGGGAAAATGTGTCAACAGAGGCCCCACAGAATCAAGGAGCCACCTATTTCCCATGGGCCGCCATTTTGCATGGTTGGCAAAGAAGAAAACTAACATGCAGTAAGTGCATTGCCAGGGACTTTGAATATGTCACCTCAGTCAATCTGCACAAATGGCAAAGCAAATACTACTATCCCAGTTTGACAGAAAATGAAACAGAGGCCCAGGAAACTGTCTATCAGGTGTGAGGTGCAGCTGGCCCTGGGGCCTGGCAGCCCAACCACAGAGTTTTGCCACCCTCTGGGTTCATCTGTGGGAACTGGGTTTTGAATTCTGGCTTTGTCTAGCTTCAAAATTTTGGCTCTTTTCATATTGACCCAGCAATTCTATTTCTAGGAATCGATCCTTCAGATGAAGCACGCACACTGGAAATGACGTTAAGTACAAAGTCACTCCTTGTGGCATTGCTTGCCAAAGCTCACACCTGGAAGCTGACATTTCCATGAACCGGACGCTGGCTAAATGCTGGCACATCCCACAATGGCACAAAGAATGAGGTGGCCCTTTCAGGCACTGCACAGAAAGGTCTTCAGAAGACATTGTTAAGTAAAAACGGCAAGGTTCAGGACTGTGCAGATAACTGGCAGTCATTTGTTTTGTGTCATGTATTAAAGGCAAAAGAGAATTTGCTGAGGTAGGGTATTTGCTGAGGTTTATATTTGCATGAACTGTCTCTGGAAACAGCACCTCACAATTCAGTGTAAATTCAGATCCCCTGGGGACCCTGCAAAAAATTCAGGTTTCTGATGCTAGGACACTCCTAACTCCTAGGACATGATGAGGCTTCTGATCGGGACTGCACTCTCATAGAAAGATGTGGATGGACACACACACACACACACACACACATGCAAAACAACTTCATTAATGTCCCCCAGAGGGGAGATCTGCTTAACTTGTAGACAGGAAAGACAGGAAACTTTACTATGTATCTTTATATATATTTTTTTTGGGGGGGGGGCAGGGATTGAGCCCAAGGATTGAACCCAGGAGCACTTAACCACTGAGCCATATTCCCAGCCCTATTTTTAAATTTTATTTTGAGACAGGGTCTTGTTAAGTTGCTGAGAGCCTTACTAAGTTGCTGAGGCTGGCTTTGAACTTGTGATCTTCCTGCCTCAGCCTCCAGAGAGACACTGGGATTACAGGTCTGTACTACCACACCCAACATCTCCATATACTTTTGAACCTTGGACTATGTGATGTATTTTGTAGTATAATAAAAATTGACATAAAAATGTAAGAGGGTTGAGAATGCAGTTTGTGTATGTGACAAAAATACACACACACACACACAAACCTGGGCACCTTCCTTGACATCAGAACACAGCAAAGACCCTGCTTCCCAGCCCCACCAGAACCAGGCTCCACAAGAGCTGCCTGTCCTCTCCCCTCACTCTGTGTGCCCCTGGGCAAGTCTCTTAACCTCTCTAAGCTTCAGTGTCTTCCTTTCTACCATCTGGAAAGTAATGTCTCATCTGCACAGAATCACAGGGATTAAAGAAGATGTTTGAAGCACAGCAGCAAAGTATCGGGCACACCCATGTACTCAGTACCAACTAGGCAGCAGTGAAGGTCATGGTAATAGCCGTCATTGCCCTTTCTATTGAGCTGATGTGTATGTGTGTGTGTGTGTGTGTGTGTGTGTGTGTGTGTGTGTTTCATTTGGGTGTTGGGGATGGAACCCAGGGCCTCAGGCATGCTAAGCACATGCTCCTGGGCTGGCTTCTGGATGGCTCAGGCCACCCTCCCACCTGCACTTACCACTACTTCTTCTTCAAAGATCTTCTCACCCTCATTCACTTTCTGGATTTCGGTGTGTTCATACTCATGTGATGGGTCCCCCATGAAGCGGCCCTTCACCATGGCTGTCTGTGCCATCGTCTCCTCTGTGGCGGGGGGCAAGAGGCTCCAATCGGTGCAGTTCAGGCTGCCAATGATATCCATCATCACCCCTGGATTCCAGCGGCCCTTCACCCAGTCTTCCTGCACCTCCTTTAGCCCTAGTTGGTCAGGCCCCCAAAGAGCTGTTAAAACTTCCACCTTTCTTCCCTTCAGACTCTTAGAAACCCTCAATGCCTGTTGCACATGCAGTCTACCCTCATGCATGAAACAAATTTTATTTATTTATTTACATATTTATTTATGGTACTGGTGGATTGAACCCAGGGACACTGTTGCATCCTCAGACAATTTTTTTTTTTAAACTCCCAGCCCTATTTTGTATTTTATTTAGAGACAGGGTCTCACTGAGTTGCTTAGTGCCTCACCATTGCTGAGACTCGCTTTGAACTCACAATCCTCCTGCCTCAGCCTCCCCAGCCACTGGGATTATAGACACGCACCACAGCACCTGGCCCACAGACATTTTTATTATTTATTTTGAGACAGGGTCTCACTAAGTTGCTAAGGTTGGCCTTGAACTTGATATCCTCCTGCCTCAGCCTCCCAAATTGCTAGGATTACAGGCATGTGCCACCAAGTATAGCTCCATTTTATTTTAATTAATTAATTAATGTTGGGGGGTACTAGGGATTTAACCACAGAGCCACGTCCTCAGCCCTTTTATATGTTTTATTTAGAGATAGAAGCTCACTAAATTTCTGAAGCCAGCTTTGAACTTTCAATCCTCAGCCTCAGCCTCCCAAGCTGCTGGGATTACAGGCATGTACTACCATGCCCAGACATTTTATTTTATTTTTTTAAGGTCACAAGAATTTTATGATGCCCTTCAACTTCCAATAAGGTAATATCCTGATAAACTCAAGAGTAAATTGAAAATATTGCCAAATAAAAAAAAAAATGTATTTGACCTAGCAAACATGGCTTAGTAACAACATCTACTGGGAGCTACAGCTTACTGCTCTGATCAGCATCCCAAGAGAGGGTCGGACTGCATACTGCTATTCCAGAAAAAGATTAATACTCAAAGTACAATTTCCACTGAATGAATACTGCTTTTGCACCATTGTAAAGTCGAAATTTTTTTAAGTCAAACAACTGCAACAGGGGTGGGATTTGTATACTGAAATTATGAGACTCTTCCTGTACATCTGGACTGAACTTCCAAATGAGTTTCTGGAAGCTGAACTTTACTCAATCATGGCACCCCTGCTTTGGTGAGCCCTAATTTTTGCTCAGTTTGACTACTGAGCCAACAGCATGGTCATCCCTCCTCCCATCTCAGGGAGGCCTAACCTAGGCTCAAGACCCTCTCTTTTTCCTCCAGTTTCTCAAGTAATTCCAGAGATCAATTCTCACCTATTTTTCTCTTTGTCTTCCTGAGGCCCACCTATACCCAGTAAATATACAGAATTCAATCACCTCCACTGGTCCAAGCCACTAATCACTCTTGCCTGGATATTGCAGTAGATGCCTTAACTGTCTTCCCTGTGTCAATTTACATTGACTCCCCTCTCAGACTACTAGCCACCGAACTGTTCAAACCTAAACCAAATCATGTCACTTCTGTGCAGAATCTTCTAATGACTTTTCATTGAACCATATCTTTTCATGCCCCACAAGGTCCTATATGATAGCTTTCCACTCCTCACCTCTCTGATCTCATGTCCTACAACATATTCCCTCCCTCATTCCTCTCTTGCCATGCTAGTTGCTATGAAGCTCCACAAACACACTAAGCAAACGCCTGCATTGGGGCCTTCACACTTGTCTGGAATTCACTTCCCTCAGAGATCCACACAGGTCACTCCCTCAGTCACTTCAGGTCTCTTTTCCAATATCACCCAATCAGAGAGGACATGACCACCCTTTTTAATATAGTACTCCAAAAGCTGGATGTGGTGGCGCATGCCTATAATCACAGCTCCTGCCAAGGCAGGAGGATCACAAGTTTGAGACCAGCCTGGGCAACTTCTCAAGACTCTGTCTCAAAAAAAAAAAAAAAATAGATATAGCTTAGTGGTAGAACACTTTCCTAGCCTGCACAAAGCCCTGGGTTCAGTCCCCATCACTGCAAAAAATAAAATAATACCCCATCCTTTTGGGTGGAGACATTTTAGCTGGCATGTAATATATTTTATCTATTTTGTCTCTACCCCCTTGACCCTAAAACACACACTGCATTGAATAAGCTCTATGAAGACAAAGCTTTTGTATCATTTACCAATGAATTCTTTGCACCTAAATCAATTTTTAGCATGTGGTAGGTGTTCAACACATACTTATACAATAAAATAAAATTAATCCCAATCTCTTGTCTTCAGTCTAAATTTTCCTTCTAGACTTCATATCTGCATTTTAACCTGCCTTCTTATACCTTGCTCTCGGAAACTCACCCCAGATTCACTGAGTCTTCCCAGGTCCTGCTGTCTGAATTCTCTCCTAGTCAGTGGGGCCTGCACTTAGCTGCCTCAGCCAGAAGTAGGAATGGACCTGGAACTCTCCTTCACCACCACTCCCATTAAACCCACTCTTCCACCTAAATCTTTCCATCCACCACTGCCACCACTACTCCTTCAGTTACTTTTCCCTTTCAAAGACTCTTCATCTTGATGCTACATTGACTCCTAAATGCTCAACCTACTTTCAGGCCATTTTGCTCACTCAGTTATAAACAGGTTCTTCTTCTAGCCCCTCAAGGGCTTCCCTTGGCCTCTCTCCATCCACTTCTACAACACCCCATGCTGCACTCTGAGCCTTCTATAGCCAGAGTGCAAAACTTTTCCTCTGTTACTCCTTTCCCCACACTAGCCTGGAGAACTGCTCACCTTTCAGAAGCAATGCAAGTTACTCCCTGATTGATCTTAGTTGTTCTCTAGAAGACCAGGGCTCTTGGTCTCCCTTTATATACATTTTTCTGTTATAGTTTTTAACACATCATTTGTTGTTGTTTTGGATACCAGGGATTGAACTCAGGGGCACTAGGCCATTGAGCCACATCCCCGGCCCTATTTTGTATTTTATTTAGATACAGAATCCCACTGAGTTGCTTAGCACCTCGCTTTTGCTGAGGCTGACTTTGAACTCGTGATCCTCCTGCCTCAGCCTCAGGAGCCTCTGGTATTGCAGGCATGCATAGCCCTGCCCAGCTCACATCAAGCTTTAACTGCTGAATAACAAGTCTGTGCCCCTCCCTTGGATGTGAATGACTCTTAGACAGAGGTATGTCTTGGTCATCTTCCTAACCCCAAGGGACGCACAGGCTGTAACCAATGTTGGATTGGTATATGGATAGGTAAATGAAGTCTCCAAACAACCTGCAGCTTGAATGGACTGCTTTATAAACTCATAAGTTCCCCCATCATCATTGGGGTGAGTTAAAAAGGCTTGATGGTCCTGTATGGCAGAGTCCAGGGAATTTTTCCTAGTTCTACATACCTCTCCCCATTTCGCCTATTTTCTACTTCCAAAGGGACTATTACTGCAGAGCGACGCCTCCATCGAAGATGCTTCCAAACAGCACCAACCCATGCCCAGGGCGTCTGACCTTTCTCTAAACTCAATCCTTGGGAATTGCCAGGTCCAGCAGCTGACTCGGATCTGTCTTCTACTCCAGGTCTGCCTTCTCCAGGACCTTCTTTGTTCCTGGCCTCTGTTACTAATCCATGCACACCTAAATTTCTTTTTTTCTTTTTTTTTTTTTTTTTTTTTTTTTTTGGTACCGAGGCTTGAACCCAGCGGCGATTAACCAGTGAGTCACATCCCCAGCCTTTTGAGACAGGGTCCCGCTGAGTTGCTTAGGGCCTCGCTAATTTGCTGAGGCTGGCTTTGAACTTGTGATCCTCCTGCCTCAGCCTCCCAAACAGCTGGTGCGTGCTCCCCGGCCCCGCCCTCTCTGACCTCGCCAGCCACTTCCCCGCCCCCTCACACCCTAGATCTCCAGGTTCCAAGCCATCCCAGTTCTCACCCCTCAACCGTGCGTTTTCGTCCCCAGGCTCCGCCCCCAGGCCTTTTCTCATTCTATCGGGCTCAGGCTCTGCCCACTGCTCTCCGACCATAAGCCCCGCCCCTTTCGAGACGCGCCAGCCCTCTCCCTGCCTTGGCCGAGCCCTCCTGGATCCCCTCCAGAGGTCTCAACCGCTCCGGTGCCGCCTCCACCTGTAGAGTGTCTTGCGTGGTGCGAGCTGGTCCTCACTCAGGCCCTGTGCGATGTAGTAATCCGCGACCATGCCGAGGATGCGACCCCAAAACAGGACCCGATCGTATCGGTAGTCGCGCTTCACTAGCAGGAGGGAAGTGAGCAGCGAGGCCCGGCGGTCGGGGCTGAGGCCCTGCCCACTGCCCGACGCCAGCTCCAGCGACAGGAGGAGGCTCTCCGCGTCCATCAGGCCAGCAACTCTGCTCAACGCCTGTTAGGTCGCTAGGAGCAGCCGTCTCCACGGAGACCAAGAATCCCGCCCCCTGTCAGGCAGGAAGCAGGATTTTACTCTCCCGACCGCTGACCTCCCGGCCCTTCCCCCAAAGGAACATTTCCACAAATCCTGGCTTACACCAGCCTCCTCTCCCATAACTTACCTGTTTGGGATTGGAGGTCAATTGTCACAGCGCGGCTTCCCTATTAGACTATAGTGTGGGGTTGGAAGACCCAACCCGGCCCAATTCCAGGGGTATTTTGGCCTTCCTGCCCTTTCTCCTACTCGACATACATGCTGTCTGTATATGTAGATACACTGCAAAGGGGACTTTGGGAGAAAAACAACACAAAACCCCAACACTGACACTAGCTTTATTGTTTCAGCCACGGCTTAAGAGTTATGTGAAGATCTTTTATAGCCTGCTGGCTCTAAGATTCTGACGATCTCCCAACCCCCTAACTCCCACTCCAGGCCAGGTCTTAAAGAATGGGTTCCAACCATTCCATAATCTATAGTCTCCAGCGGATGTCCCTTTGTCTACTTGATAAGACTATTCTACCTAAGTGACAAATGAAGATGAGGCAATGGGAGGTGTAAGACTACACCATGAAAAAGGATGATGTGGAAAGGGGTACAAAAAGCGCGACATTTACAGACTGCACTTGCCCATCAGCTACCTTTTACATGTACCTAGCTTGGGCCCCACAACTGCTTTGAGACCCATATGGTAGCAACAGATTAAAAGCCAGAACCCCGCTGCAGCTGGGGCTCTGCACTTCCTGGGACTGGAGGCTACTACTTCACAACCACCTCTGGGGTTCCCCGCCAGGCAAAAAGGTTTCTTAGCAAGCTTGTTGCCAGGGAAAGAGGGTTTTACTGCTAATATTAATTGATCTTCATTTCTGGATTCCTTTGGAGAAGACTCATGAGATCAGAATGACCTGGGCCCCAATCCCAAATCCACTGAGAAATAAGTGTCTAAATTATCCAGATATTACTTTGCTTTGTCTAGGCATTGCTTATGAAGGCTTTTTTAAAACTAAATTTCTTTTTTTTTTTTTTTTTGTACTGGGAATTGAACCCCAGAGGTGCTTAAGCACTGAGCAGCAACCCCAGCCCTTTTTGAGACAGGGCCTCACTAAATTGCTGAGGCTAACTTTGAACTTGAGATACTCCTGCCTCAGCCTCCAGAGTTGCTGGGATTATTAGCATGACCGCAGCAACCAGCTTAAGGCTTTTTTTTTTTTTTTTTTTTTTAGTTGTAGATGGATACAATACCTTTATTTATTCTTATGTGGTGCTGAGGATCAAACTCAGTTTCTCACATGTGCTAGGCAAACACTCTGCCACTGAGCCCCAAGCCCCAGCCCCAGCTGAAGGCTTTTAAAATAAGCATTTGAGGAAGGTGACTTGGCTTAATATGTCTTCCACTCAAAACAATTTATAGCCCCCTTATTCACAAGCTCTCCACTCCCTTTAGTCGACTCTCCACCTTTCCCTAAGTGGGAGATTTGGTCCAATTCCAGTTCAGAAAAAAAGTAGAAATTCTGGCTGGTGGAATATGCTTCAAGTGGTCAAAGCACAGAAAAGTGCCCAATGTTTTGTTTTCACTGATTCTGTATTTACCTATTAACAGCAACCAGAATCTGAAGCAAGAGCGGGGAGTTCTGTACCTTCCTATCTTTGGAAGGGCAAATTCTGGCTATTTCAGAGGAAACCTAACAGGATGTGCAGCATCAGCCTCTAAAGCCAGGTGCACCAGATTTGAGGCCATGTTTTGCCACTTAAACAGATTATCTCCCCAGTCCTAATCTATAAAATGGAGACAATCATACATACATTGGGAGGTTCTTTTTTTTAATATTTATTTTTTAGTTTTAGGTGGACACAATATCTTTATTTTGTTTTTACATGATGTTAAGAATCAAACCCAGTGTCTCACGCATGCTAGGCGAGAGCGCACTACCACTTGAGTCACATCTCCAGCCCCCATTGGAAGGTTCTTTAGCTTAGATAATATATGTAAGCACTTTTATTCTTGTGGCATTGGGGATTAAATCCAGGGCCTTAAACATGCTAGGCAAGCATTCTACCACTGAGCTACTACTCCAGTCTTATGCAAGTGCTTAAAACACAGTATACAGGGGCTGGAGTTGTGGCTCAAGCGGTAGCGTGCTCGCCTGGCATGCGTGCGGCCTGGGTTCGATCCTCAGCACCACATACAAATAAAGATGTTGTGTCCGCCGAAAACTAAGAAATAAATAATGAAATTCTCTCTCAAAAAAAAAAACACAGTATACAGGCACATGGAGCTGTGTTCTGGTGTGGAGGCCACCAGCCTGCTGTTGCAAGTATTGGGCTTTAAAGATGAGGTCTGTAGCAGAGGGACATACGGAAGTTTGGAAAAACAAATGCTTCAAAACACAACCCAGGCATGGTGGTATACACCTGTAGTACCAACACTTGGGAGGCTGAGATGGGAAGATCACTTAAACCCAGGAATTCAAGACCAGCCTGGGCAATATACCAACAAAAATAATTTTAAAATAAAAAATTTTTTAAAGCTATTGTCTGGATTGGGGATGTAGGTCAGTGGTAGAGCACTGGTCTAAGGTACTGAGCTTGATTCCTGGCATCACAAAAAAATTAGTAAAACCAAAACACACAAAAGAAATTTTAAAACGACAGAATCGTTAAAAAATTATCTTCACACAATCCTGGCAATCACCAAATCTGAATGACTGCCAAGGAGAAGACCTTGCCAAAGCCTGCAAAATGCTGAACATTCAGGTTCTTCCAAAACTGTGAGCTAAATAAACCTCTTTTCTTTATATAGGAAAACAAAAAACAAAAAAAAAAACCCTATATATTCTATACACTGTTTCAAGCACTTTACATACATTGTCTAACAATCTTGCAGTGTATATGTCATTGTCTTCATTTTTACACACACACACACACGAGTACCTGCACTATACCCATCTCCAACACTAGCAGGGTGACAATTCTATCCTCAAATTGCTTTGAGGAAACGAGCTCCAACCCTTGATGGCAAGAACAGTGTCAAGCCAGAGAGGAAAATAGCAAGGATCACAATGGCCAAATTACATGTAGATGAAGAGGAACTGCTATAGGCAGGAGGGTGGGTGCCACAGTCTGGCTGGGCACAAAACCACGAGCCACTCAAGCAGGAACAAACTTTATTTCCAAAACTCCCACCAATGCCACGCACGCGGCCTTCTCCCGGGACACACTACACCAACAGGAAATCCCTCCTCCGGAATTCCCTCCTACCGCACTTCCCCAACCAATGGGAACTCTCCAGGAGTCCCACGAGAGCTCCAAAGTAGCAGGCCTAGAAGGACAGCAAGGGTCTAATCTCCAATTGAATGCACATCTTAACATAATCATTATCATCTCAATGGCTTGCTGGCGTCACCTTTCAACCAAAAATGCTATGCATCATTCCTACTTGGCTATGGCTCTCAGCATCTCCCCCCTTCTGTTTAATTAAACAACAAGCAATGTGGCTTAGGGGACCGTGCCTGTTAGGTTTCCAATACAACATATGGTCCTTACCCGTCATCGGATGAGCTGACCTCTAGGCGTCAGCCTCCTGTCTTAGGTTGATACCACTGCAATTGGATCATACCCATCACTGACTACAGATCCAGCATACAGCCATACTTGTGGATAGGCCTTTGCACCAGTGTGTGGGGGGGTGAGGTTCTTTGCCTCACCTCTGTTGGCCCCCAAATTTTAGACCATCACTAGTAGAAGGGAGGAGGATACAGAAATGCCATGACACCAAGCCAATTGACGGCTCCTTTGGAAAAATTGTATCACCAGTGACACCATCAGCAAAGATACGCCAGCACTACCACAATTCGCTGTACCAACAGATAGTTCACAATGTATACAAGTGATACATAGTCCAGGCAAGTTCTGCAAGCAGTTCAAAGCGGAGGAATCTATCAATATGTCCATTTCCTCCCAAAGTAAATCGACTCCTTGATTGAGCATTACTTGTTGAGTTATTATTCATTGATGCATCAGTTTATACAGTTTACTGTGATAACTATCGAAGAAGCTGTAGTTTGGTTTTTATTTTGTCTTCACCGGCACTGGGATGAAGATAGGAATTCTGGCAATGATGGCTAAAAAAAAATATGTAACATTCCAACAGGTAATAAGAAAACAATTTTCTGAAAAATTTACATTATCCTGAACAGGATTATTAAATATAATGAAAAGGAAAGGTGAAAGTAAACAAACAGATCTGTTAACCTCCTTATTTGTACACATATTAAAACAATTCTCAACAGCTGTTTACCCAATTTAAATTAAACCATTAAAATCACGTGAATAAAAAAAAATTCGGATCCATTTTTTCATGAGCGCTCCTCATATATGATATATGGATATACGCACACACATACAACACAAAACACAAGTGTGCACACAAACATACAACACATAAGACAATAGTAAAGGCCTTGTAGCTTACACAGGTGAAATCTCCATTGCAATGTTTAAAAAGTCCATAGTCAAAAAATAAGAACTGATCAGAAAAACATTAACCTAGGTCTGTATGAGCTCAAAAAATAAAATAGAACTTTATGATGTGGAAAAATGCAATAATAAAATAGATATCGAAAAAAGCATCCTGGTTAATCAATGTCTCAGATGTAAGAATAGCCAAGCTGAAGCTCTGTATATCAGCTGTTATGGATTTGAGTCAAATCATCTTATTTTTGGTCTGTAGAAATTGCTTTGGTTAGTCTCTTTAGAATCCAAATTGGCTGCTGTTCTCCCTGTGTAAACACACAAACAGAACCCCGACTCCAGACAATCACTGGGTCAGGACCTTTCCATTGTCCTGTTAGAATATCTTTCCAAAGTACCTTAGGCTTATGTACATTTTTTGGATACATATGACTTTCTGCAGCACTAAGCCCTGATGAATCCAAATTTAAAAAGTTTAA